AATTAATATAAAGTCAGATTAATTTATCTTTGCTTGAAAAAAAGAAAACAAAACTTTGTGCTTTGATTTCTTATTAGTGTTTACACTTGAGTACTTGTGTTACCTTTACATACATACATTAATATACATAAATATATAATGATATAAATATTCACACAGAACAGTAAATGTAAATATATGTACTTATGAATATTTATAATGTATGTATGAATGTGTCGGTACTCATGTAAGCAAATTTCATTCTAATTCTATTAACAGTATCAAATATTTACTCAAACATTCTATTTAAATCCGAGTGTCTGAAGGCACTTCTCCTTGGCCATAGAACTTGCGGAGACCTCGGACAAGTTGATAATGACGACGACCATCAAGATACAGCATAGCCTCTGAAAAAGGAAAAGAAAAAAATGAATATAGTTCTACAATATATATAAACATGAGCAATTAAGCAATAAAATGTTAAAACTCTTTCCAATGGTTTGTAATATGAATTTACCTTTTAAAGTTTCTACTAGTAGTAACACACTTTTATCTTCCATATTTAAGAAAGACCAACTCTGAATATAAGAATTTTAGAATATAAACATTCTTTATTCTATGACATTCACCATACAGTGCAACCCCACTATCACAGATTCTTCTATTGCCTATACCCATTGTCAAGTCCACGTAAAACTGTTGATTGTGTGAAAGAGACAATGAAAAAGAGCAATAATGGTAAAAAAAAAAAGCAGTACTTACATATAGCAATATCTATACAGTGTTGTTTATTCTTTTCTTTATAAACTTCAAATAAAAATTAACAAAATACTTTTGTTATTAACTCCCTATATATCTATTTGCTTTATTCATATTTAAAGTTTTTTCTTTTGCATATAAGCTTACAATAAAGCAAAATCTCACTAGAAATTAACCTGAAGCCGCTGTATGTACATGCCTGTATATACAATACATTTATTAATTGTCTTTACATACATAGAGAGCTCGACAAGTACTAAGCCATCAGTGAGCCATTTACAAGTACTACCTATCTCACCTGTTTACTCTTTTCCTTGCTTTTTTTTCATATATTTTTTAATATCTTATACTGCTGTTAGTAAAGTCAATAAGACCATAATAATTGCAATGTATATAGCAATAATAACAGCATTGATATTGATAGCATTAATAAATAAAACTCAAGAAAAGGTGATATCTACTGAGGTTAAAAGGCCTCCTAACTGACTAATTTGTAGCTAAGCACTTGTAGAGCAATCTATGTGCAAAGACATTTATCAAAAAAACACTGTAGTGATCATTTTCCCAACGATGGTGGGTTAAAGTATCTGTGTATTAAACTGACCGTGATAAGTTCGAGGCAAGACAGTTGGACCAGGTTGCTTCACTTCGTAAGTGAAGTGGAAAATGTTTGTGAGGTTGATTTCTGAGGTCACAGCATCCATCACACTTGCTTTTGTGCTGACCTGAATATGTGTCCCCTCAGTGTACACAACCTTGAAGTGAAAAGATTTTAATTTAGTATATAATTACTAAGAAATTAATTATTTTAGCAATAGTTTACATTACTAAATCAAAAAATCATCAAAACAATACTCAGTAAATTGTCACACGTCCAGAATTTTCACAAAAGTTTCTACAACAACCAACCTGTGAGTTTAGATACAGGAGTGACCCGATCTCCACTGGTCGACGGAACATGATGTCATCTATGTGGAGTATGCGTGGCCTTTGTTTGCTGCGGATTGGACCACAATGAGTATGCAAAATACCAACCAAGAAGAGGCATTCTGAACAATATATATACAAGTTAAACAAATATAAATATAAGGAAAGAGGTTGACTTGCTCTTAAAAATTAGATAGGGTATTTTACTTCCTTTCTCATGTAAATTTTGTATATACATATATTCTTCAAGTTTTGTAGAGAGAACACAACATTCAAAACATACAAAAATGAAATGAAAGTAAGACAAAAGCTAACGTTATTTGTGTATCGATATCCAAACTCTAACCATAAATTAAGCATTTGGAATTCATCCTACCACTAATCTATTGAACCCTTAACTTTTGCTACTTATCCTGCATGATCAAAAGATTCCATCTATGAAATGGTTAATAAAAGTTTCAGGAACTAGCCACTGAGTAGGGTGAGGTCTTGGCCATCTCTATTTCTCCTAGTTCCTTCTACTTTTCCCCCCACTTTCTTAATCCAAAAAAAAAATAGACAGCAATTCATTTAATTATGCACTTCCCAGTGGGCAATGCATTGGTAAGCATGGTCCTTGCAATCTTTTTTGTAATAACTTGAGCATCTCATAAAGCACCTGTCTGACACAGGTAAAGCTATTATTTTTTACTTGGAAGGAGAGTTTCCGAAAAGCCATACTTCCTGTTCCTATAAAATCATCTGTCAATATGTATGACACAAGAAGACTAATTCTATTAATAATTCTATATTAATCACAGCTAATACTGATATCATTAACTATGCTATTGTTATCATTATTAAATATAACAGGAAAACCAATTACATTATCAATTATTATCAATTTATTTTCTTCTGAAATCAACATTTATATCTAGAGTATAAACACTTTTACAGCAGTTACGGCACAAAAAAAAAAAAAAATTACTTAAAAAAAAAAAACTCTGTACAAAGAATAAGTGTGGCAAAACACACATACATGTTTCACTACTGGCAATATTTCAATATTATTCAAAGTTGTTTAACTGCCGACATAAAATATCCAATTCTAGAGGTATTGCATAAAAAAACTGTTTTCTGTCCCAAAGAATTTTTTTTATCTCTGTATTATATTTTACATTTACACTATCTACATATCAGAATAAATATAAAACTTTATACTTTGCAATAAAAAGTAAAAGATATACTTGACTTCACTACCCTAAAATCATTCTAGTTTCAGGAACTGATACTAAAACTTCAGAGATAACTATAAGTATCACTAAAGGAGAAGGTTAACAATAATATAATTGGTTAAATCTTGGTATAAGAAAACACTTAATGAAGATGCGATAAAATGGCTCTTTTGAAAAGGAAATGAAGTTCACAGGAAAGCTGAAAAATAGAATGATAAAAAGGAAGAGAGAAAAAGAGAAGCAAAGAGAAGCAAAGAAAGATGAAATGAGTGGAAAAGATAAAGATGGAAATAGAAAAATGGAGGAAGAAATAAAGGAATAGATAAGGCCTGAAAGATAAGAAGAGATACAGATACTGAGAGAGAATGAAAGGAAGAAAAAGGGGAAGACAGGAAGAGAGGAATAGATGATGAGACGAAGAGAGGGTAAGGAACAGATAAAGATTAAAGACAGCAGGAAGAGAGCAACAAACAAAACAGGACAATCAGAAAAAAACAAAGAGAGACAAAATGAGAGAAAAGAGAAAAAAGTTGACAAAAAAAAATCTTGAATGTTACCATGCCTAATAAAGACATAATAATATTTCCAAATGGCAAAAATGTCCTTTTTCCTTTCATCATACCAAGAGCACGAAATTTCTAAAGAAATGCAGACTGGCAGTTGCTCCTTCCTAGCGTAGCTTTGGGTGTAGCTATTCATCAAAACTGATGCAATTTCAAATATTCAAATAATTTTTTGAATATATATTCAGTAAGCCTTACTGCCTAAAGAAATATAATCTAGTCATTCCAGAAAGGTAAAATGATACAGTATATATATACACAAACCTACATATAAGTATACTTATCAAAACAGGCCTAATGTTGAAAGCATAAAGTGCTCTTGAAATCTTTCAACCACATTCAAATCATGCAGTAAACATTCATTCTTCATTACATCATGCAAAGAACATTCAAATCCCATTTACATCATGCACAAACTTATCCACCGAAAATGTGTCTAGACAGAGTTCCATCATACGCTACTGTTACCATACACCGATGACCAAGGAGATGGATTCATCTGCAAATGGCAATACTAACCTAAATACTGAGACATTAGCCCAAGAAAGCTCAAATGCCTTCCTCATCAAGAATCCACCAAAGATTTTGTTGAAGATATTGCGAGACTGAAAGAAAGAGATACCCGGTTGGTTTGTGTTTTGTAGTTATATTCTGTGTGTGTGTGTGTGTGTGTTCTGTGGTGCTAGTACGAAGGGACTTTTCACGGAACTTTGACCCCTAGTTGAGGTTGCAAGCAAAGAGTGGAAAACAGCGAGGCATTCCTGAGGAGAAAGTTAATGTCTTCCTGGTTGAAGGTTTTTCTTCAAAGTTTCATTCACTATGAATAATTAACTAATAGAAAAAAAAGAAAAAAAAAAAGAAAAAGAAAAAAAGAAAAAGGAAAAAGAAAGAAAGAAAAAAAAGAACAAAGACATTCAGTAAAGCATTATGTATTACAGTCACATGTATGTTGTTTAATTAAGCTACAAATATAGCATGATTACCAATAAAATCATCCAGCAATTTGATATCCCAGGCAGCTATCTGCACAAAACACCAAATTGATCAATATCAGTTACAATCTACCTACAAAACAACTAAATTATATGAAACTACTAATTACAAATTTTGCAATAATAATCAACTGCTTCACTTGCTTTCCTTTTGTTTTCTTTTTCCTTACATATATGCAAAGACATTATTTTACGCAATACAAAAATTTATTATTGACAAGCTTTAGTTTTCCTTCCTGTAACAGGAAGAAAAAAAGGAGAATACTGTATAAGAAAACCATTAACAATGTAAATGAATTAGTAGAAAGAAAAACAACAACAAAAAAACAAAAAGCATTCTTGTCATCAATTTCAGCAAATGTTAGATAAAAACAAGAAAAAAGTGTGTTGAATTATTCCTTTTAATGCCCCATAAAAGGAAACATATTCAGAACTTCATCTTAACGAAAAAGACGAGAAATCAGAAGTTTCTAAAGTATGATCAAATACATTCTAATGATTCAATCGTTGGCATAAAATCTGAAATTATAATTCTTTCCCCAAGAGTCTAAATTCCTTTTATCATTCTACTTCCTTATCACTGCTTGAAAATATCAATTCTTTTTGTTCTGCTTTTTACTAATCCCAGTTAAAGGTTTCTGATGTTACAGTTGCAGTGTAGTTTAATGATAAAAGAAACTTTTAAGAAAATCAATAAATACTTCTAACATGTTCTACTCTAATGGAATCCCTCTGGAAATGCATTCATTAATCAGTGTAGATATTATTTGGTAGATACCAAGAAGCTACAGAACAGAATCAGTGTGAGAATGAAGGCAATTACTCCAAGCATTTGTAAACTTCAATGCATGTTCAGGAATAGAAAAAGGTACATAAAACCCTTTGTCAACCAGTGACTTCCCTTTTAGAAATCATTCTGACTAATTCTTGACACTGAACCCCTCTTTGCCACTGACAAACTAGACATATTTCTTACTGAACAATTAGTACTTTTTAATTACTCTTTAGTAGTCAGATATAAGCCGTCTCTGGTAGAGCACAAACTCCAAAGTGTTGGACTTAGACTGATGACATCATTAAGAAATTAATTGAGACACCGTGTGTTTGATAGGGAAAGTTTCCAAGTGCTTCCAATGACTCTATCAACAACAAAGATAATCTCTGTGTTCATAGTTTATTTCTTTGATCTCTGAATACAGAATGATCAAGAAAGATATTTAAAGCATCTCTGTCATAAAATATAAGCATGGCCAGGTTTCTCCAGTGAAAAAATAAATAAATAAATAGATGTGAAGAATTTTAGGCTTGTTTTCAGGCTAAATCAGTGGAGTTTAAACAATGATGTAAAATAGCCCAATGCGTTGCCTAAAGTCTGAACGGCTCTCCTAGGCATTGGGAAAAATCCAACGCATTAGTGTTTTTTCTTGATGCACCAAAGATGCCCTTAGTTTTGATTACTATGTTTTTTTATATTAAAATATTTATATATTAAAATTTTATTTTATACTATTATTATTTTTAAGATGGCATTTAAGGGACACAGAGAAAAATGACAAAAGTGGAAGATTAAAAACATCAGTCACAGTATGCATGACAAAAGGTTCATGAATTGCTATTCCAGAAACATGTTTGAGGGAATGATCACACACACTACTGACCTATACGTAAAGGCACATGCCCAGCCTAGTTCATAGGCCTGACGCATGAGAAATCCGCCAAACACCTTCTTGAATCGGTTCCTGTGCTGTGGTAGGTTAGTTCAAATGTTCTCATTATATTAGGCTACTTAAAAAATAACAAGAAAAAAAAAATCACAGTATTCCAATTACTGTCTTTATATATCTATATATACTTTTTCTGTCCTTTCAGCAGTACAAGGAATAATCTTAAAAAATAAACTAGCTACAAAAATGACAAACTATGACAAACAACATGAACACACTTGTCCTAAATGTACCAAGCAGAGACATGCAGTAAATAATATGGACAACTGTATTTTTGGGGGTAAATAAGGTTTTAATTCCTGTTAATTACTGTATCCCGGCAGAATCTGAGAACTCCAACTTTGTGATAGCAGTGATCCCGGTACATATATTGCCACTATTATTAAAATATTGATTTCATATGTTCTGCTATATCCTCAGAAGCCGGTGACTTTTACTAGCTGGCAAATTATAAGATTAAGCTGCCATCAAAATTGGAAAAGGGCTTTATTCAAAAAAAAAAAAAAAAAAGAAAAAAAAAAAGAAAAAAAAAAAAAGAAAAAGAAAAAAAAAAAAAAAAAAAAAAGAAAAAAAAAAAGAAAAAAAAAAAAAAGAAAAAGAAAAAAAAAAAAAAAAAAAAAAGAAAAAAAAAAAAAAAAAAAAAAAAAAAAGTTAAATCATCAAAACAACCGTTCCTAAACACAAAAACTTTGCCATTAAAAACGTCATGAACTTTGGATCAATACCCACAGTACACATAAGCTTAAGCCAAACGAACATGAACATATATTGCATAGTCTCTTATCAAACTTATCTCATCTGTATGCTGTGATCATCATCATACTGGATACTGTTTCAAAGTACTTTATCAATGCTGAAACTCACTGATAAGAAAATAAATATTGGAAAGTACCTGTACATGATAACTGAGATTATTTTGCATCTAATGTATATGCATGGCATACCAATAGTGGTTGATAAAGAAAACAGGATCTGGTTTCTATACACAATCACTGAGTATTCTGCATCTATTATATATGCAAATGACAAAGAAAATAATGAAATATTCTAATATATAACTGTCATAAGTCTTTTGTATCTATATGTGTGATATACTAAAAGTAATATATGAAAACTATTGAATAGTATTTAATGAAACCTAGAGAAAAGTTCACATATACAACAACTATACTACGTAATTTCTACCTATGAATGTGGTATGCCATATTGCACCTCACCCATGGAGTCATCCAGTCAATAAAAATTATAAAATCCTACCTCAGGGTGACAGATAATAAGGTTCTTTAATTTATGGTTCTCCATCCAGACTGAGTTTGCTGGAACGTTCTTCGAAGCAAAAGAAAGCTGCTCTGGGTTGGCCATGGACATGAAGACTTCATGAACGAGGCTCTTTTCTGAAAGCGTATTTTTGTAAAAAGGTATATCACAGCAGAGCACTTCATATCTGCCAAACAACAGGGATATTTAACTTATTATTCAAGGAAAGGAAAGGAAAGGAAAGGAAAGGAGAGGAGAGAAGAAGAAAAGGAAGGAAATGATGGGGGGGGGGGGGAAATCCAGGACAAAAACACTAAACACAACATCTTAACCCATTGCCGCCGGGGAAAATGAACAAAAAATGAGAGAAATTTAGTACTCATTTTTTATATTTTTGTGAAATATCTCTGTCCATAGATGGCTCTGCTAGTCCTGATTTCACCTTTCCTTGAATTGGCGGGAAAAAACGTATTCTTACTAGTGCTATAAATATAGATGGTGTTATTTTTAACAGCAAATTGGGATAATGGGTGAGACATGCAGTACTCGTAATTGGCTGATTGGATACTTAGTACAAGTGTAGCCATCTATGTGTAAAAACAATCGAACAAGTCGACTCACAGTGGGCATGGCATGTACGTACATGCCATCCCCGGCGGCAATGGGTTAAAACAATATCCTGTTTGATTCTAATCCTCCCAAGAGCCTTATATAATTTCAATCTGCACTAATGCTACACAAAGGACACACCTGTCTCATTTGGAGGGACGCGAAACAGGCTCTCCTGCTGGATCACTCTCCTGTGTAACTTGTTGATCTCTCCGGCCTGAAATATTCTCTTCTCTTCCGCTGTCTCAGGAACGAGGGGATTCACAAGCGCTGAGCCTTGGTTGAGGGGGTCTCGAGCCACCATAACAAAGACAGCACGTGTGACCTGTGAGCAAATTTCATGAGTGAAGGATTTTTTTTTTTTTATCTTTTAGATAAGATATGTTTATTCCGAATATTTTTTTTTCTTTATTATGCCAATTTCTCTAGATATTAATGTATTGGTGGAAAATAAAGATATATGGAAAACTAGTTTCCGTAATAAACTATTTGATATTACATATATATGTATGTGCTTTCTTTCACTGAAAGAGCCAATGATGCTTAACATCTGACCTATGCATTAACCAATACATATCTCTGTATATTAACCCGAAGCCTCTGGGAAAATGTTGAGTTAACTGTAGTATTGTTTTCTGAAATGTCTCTGCACACAAATGGCTCTGCACACAAATGGCTCTGCAAGTGCTTAGCCACAAAGGGGTCAATTAGTAGCCCTTGTGACCTCACAAGATTTCTGTCTTTACTATAGATATCAATATTGATACTGTTATTTTTATTATAGACATTATTATTATTATAGTGTTATTGACATTACTAACAGCAATAACAGATAGCAGAAAATATTTTTGAAGATCAAGGAAAAGAGTAACCAGGTGAGACAGGTAGTACTCATAATTGGCTCACTGGCAACTTGGTACTTGTGGAGCCATCTTCATGCAAAAACAATTGATAAATTATTCTCACAGTGGGATGGCATGTACGTACATGCCATCCCTGTCAGTTTTGGGTTAATCATCACTTAACCCCTACAATTTCAATGACATGATCATCACATGATGAAAAATTTGGCTCGAGGGGCAGGTGACATAAACATGCTGTCATGTGAAAATCTGTCTGAAGGCCAAGTGATGGGAACTTGCCATCATGAGAATTTCAGCAGAAGGCTGGGGTGATGGGAATGACTTGCTACAAGTGCACAAAGCTTTTGGAGGGTGATTAGACTCAGTAGGTACTTAGGAACATTTGCATTATTTCCCTCATAAATAAGTGTGGAATATACCATCTGTGAGCTAAAACTGGAAGACTGTGGCTATTTCAGGCTCCTTTTTCTGCCCATTCAGAGGTTGTATTACAGAAAATTTAATATGAAAAAAAAGAACACAAATACTAAAATGTTACTTATTCTTATTATTATAGCACAAAGTTATGGACTCCTTAAAGAGATGATATAGAGTTGGTGCAAGGAAAACCATCTATTATCATACATATATTGGACAATGGCAAAAAAGCTAAAAATGCTTATGTAGAAAAAGAAAATGGTTAATGGTTAGAAGAAATAAATGAGCTAATCAAAGGTCATTTAGCACTATGGTAAAGTTGTGTGGCAAAAAGGGTGGAAATGAGTTAATGATCAGAATAAGATGTACTAGATGCCAAAGGTTAGAATATTAGTGAAAAGGATATATAGGGGGAACAAGTGGAATACAGAGGGGATTTGTAAAAGGATGTGGTTAAAGGTGTAGGACAATCAGATCATATGGAGAGTAACACTGTATGGGAAAAATGCAAAAGAGCTATTATGAATCGATCAAATGGCAATACGGCAAGTAAAAATAGTTGTACAATAAGGAGAGGAATCCTGAGAATGAAATAAGGGAACAGGGGATGGTGGTGAAGTATGGGAAAAGAATGTCAGGAGAAGAGGGATCCACAGAAGGTCACTGTTTTGACTTAAGGGTGGTAAGGATAATGGGGAAGGAAGAGGGTTTGGTGATGCACATGGAGGAGGAGAGGGAGGGGTATTTTTTTGGCGACTGAGAGGAAGAGGGGTAGGGGGGAACTTGAGGAGGAGGAGGATGGATATTGGCAGATACTTTGAATGTAGAGATAAAGGAATTAGAGAGTGGATGAAGGAGTGGATCATTCTCTTGAGTCATGTTTATGAACTTTTGGATGTCTTCAAGAGTTTCTGGCAGGGAGTTTGGCTGGGGAGGTCTGAGAAACTAAGGTTTTCTTATGTGGAGGAGAAGAGGGAATAGATGTCCGTGGAGCAGAGGAAGAGGTGGGTGTAGGAGACAATGTGGTATGAGAAAATGGAGTGGAACGTTTAAGTGGTCTGGTGCGACAGGTAGACTGAGAAGGAGGGGGAAGGGTAGGCACCGGGCAAGTGGTAGAGATTAGAGTATCTGGATTTAGACTGGAAAAGGAATTTGACTGTGGGAGAGAGGTAGCAGAGGAGTGGAGGGGAGTGGAGTGAAGTCCAGTTTTCGAGTAGAAGGAGAAAAAACCTGTCTGGCCTCATGCAGAGTGAGGCCTAGCTTGATTCTGAGAACTGCTACCTCAGATTTGAGCTTATGGGAGCTACCACAATTAGCACATGTGCCTGACTGAGCACAGCAAATTGAACAGTCATGATCAGGTTGGGCGCATAGAGGGCAATGGGCAGAGACAGTATTTAGCTAGGTGGCCAAAATGGCAACATTTCTGTCATTGATGGGGAAGAGGTTGATATGGACAGACAGGGCAGGACACCACCAGCATAAACTTCATGGGGGAGGTCATGTCTACAGAAGCTAATCTTAGCACTGGACTTCCACTGCATCATAGTCAGCGAGGCATGAAAGCAAGTTGCTTTCACAATCTGACCAGTACTTGTTGTAGATGGGACAGTCAGTTGGAGAGATGGAAACAGTTCTAGTACAAGTATTAAGGGAGGAATAGGTTTACCAGTGAGGTTAGTTAAGGTCGATAGTGCATGAGCTTGAGACTCAGATGTAACTGAGACAAGGCATGAATGATCAGAATAACTGTGCAAGGAAACTTTGCCTACTTGTTTTTGGAGACGGGTGGAAGAGAAGGGTATTGTCAGAGTATGAGGCTGTAGGGGGAATCACAAATAATTGATCCCACTTGGCTGGGCCACATTGGGTACTCATCAAAAGGTTTACAAAGGTGGATATAGTAGAAGGATGGGGGCAGGGGGAAGATAGGGTGGTATGGAGAGAGGTACAAGCGACACACCTGTTAAAGTGATCACTCAAGTAAGTCTAATGCCCATATTTTGGGTTACCTGATGGCAATGAAGCATCTAGATCCAGTAAGTTAACACCTAAAGTCCACACTACCTTGAATGGGCACATAAGTAAATTGCCTCATCCGCCAAATCACTTCACTAGAGCACTATATACCTTTTAAAAACTGACAAAGCTCATTCCACACCTCTATTCCTGCGAAACTGAGACATAATGAGGGTAAACTAGTAAATTTAGTACTGGTTGGCATCTTCCTTCCAATACTATGGGCAGAGAGAACGCTGCAACTTCCCCTATCCCTATGCCTCCTTCTCCCTCACCTCGCCTTCTCTCGTGTCCCTGGGAGGCTTCTACTCTCATCTAATCTTCCCCCTATACCCTTTCCAAGCCATTAGAGACTATAACACCCATCATTCCATCCCTTACCCCTTTCCCCAAGGACCCCCCCCCCCCCCCCCCCCGTCCTGTCATATAGTCTCCCTTTGGCATGGCATAGGTGGGCTACCAGGGACATTTTGATTTTCACGTATCGTATATATATTGGTACACAAAAATACATGATATATAACTACCTGTTTGCCTTACATGTATTTTACTTATATGCTTTCATAAGTCTTCCCATTTTTGTTCATATATAAGGTATAACTTTTTAAAATCTGGTGATCCACTGTTTTGTAACCATTTGACACAGCAGCACAAATCACATTTTTTTGTGCGTAAAATTGAGTTTTTCAAACAAACTTGCCCCTGGAATCTGAAAATTCGGGGCTATTTGCTACGGTGGGGGGTTGAGGATGGTCTGAGAAACTTTGGTCTTTAATAGCTTTTTTCCATGTTGTGCCTATTTTCATTCACAAACATCCTGATGCTCCACTAATCACTAAACATTTGATATACTTGCATACAAGGTAGAAGCTGATAATTCAATGTCATTTGCTGCTGTGGGGTGTAGCGCTCTGCAGTCTTTGGGGGGGGGTAAAGAGGTAACAGCTTCATCCTACCTGTTGCCACTCTCCCTCATTGAACTGCTCCACTTTAATGATGGCCTCCATAGATGATCGTCCGGCCCAAGAGACGTGGCCTGACAGTCGAATATCACGGTCTGGCCTCAGCATTACTCCCTGGTTGAAATCAATGCGGTCAACAAGAGCAGTGACAATGCTGTATGGGCTCGGCATGTTTTCCTTCTGCCGGGGGTTTTCTAGGTGCTTGTAGCACAGCCATACTGAAAAAAGAGAAATACCCACATAAAACACACATACACACACAGACACACATATAATATATCTATATATATACAGAAAGGGAGGCATAATGAGACCACATATACATTTTATAAACACATTCCACTCCTACCACAGACTCCTCATCACGAGATTACACACCTGCAAATACATCGAGGTCCTCCAGAAGTCTGCCAACTCTCACTCCTCCGAGGAAGGTCACATATTTTTCCCTGAGTCTCACTTCACTTTCGAGAGGAATGACTGCGCTGTCAAAACTGTCCTGTTGTTTGGCCATTAAAAAGATGACGGTGATGAATAAACTAGGTCATAATAAATCACTAAATCACAACCTTGTAATTTAGTGATAACCTAACTGATTACACTTGAAGCAACGGCTGACTATATGCAAGAATATATTTCAAAATTACCTTTTCACTAATTGTTAAACTAATGAATGGAGAATGTTAGATTTGATGTTTGCTTTCCCATGAAAACTCTCAAGAAAATAGAAGGTATTTTACATCATTAAGAATGTCCTCAAAATTCTTTAAAACCCACTCCTTAAGGAAGAAGAAGAAGGAGAAGACAAAGATGAAGAACAAACTATGGAAAACAGTTTGGATGCTCTTCCTGTCTCCCTACCTTCATGCTTCTTGGCGGCAATTCATCCTGCGACTTTGGCAGGAGGTCAAGCAGGAAGGATCGATCTAGTACTTGCGTGAAACTCTTAGCTGCACCAACTTTTGCCGATAAGCTTGATATCACTAGGGGGGGGGGGGAAGAAGAAATAGAAGAAGAAGAAGAAGAAGAAGAAGAAGAAGAAAAAAGAAAAAGAAAAATATAATGCATGAGTCTATTCACCACATCAGGGGTGTATGTATGGGAACATTGTCCACAGCAGTTTTGCTTGATCAATTTTGTTTCCACAGAGATAGCCCCAGAAGAACTTAGTTGCCAAGGACTCAGTTACTAGGCCGGCCTGAAATCACCTGTTTACCCCATATCTTGAATCTTCAGAAAGAAAAGTATTAATTATTATTACTACTACTATTGTTAATGACATTACCATAACAAAATTAATAATGTTTATAATGATGATAATATTAACATATAATTTTTTTTTCCCTTAAAATTCAAGGAACAGATGAGTTCAGGTATGCCTGATAAGTGTCTCCTTGTTGACTAAACATCTGTCACTTTGCAAATAAAACTAACATATCAAAACTGCAATGGACAATGTATATACCCAGTGCTAACGAGTTGATTACGTGGAATAAAAAATATTTCATTTTGGATGGAAGGCAAAACGGTTTATAAAAGTTGAACTTTAAAAAATGAAAAATCTATTTTGTTTCACCAATGATTACATAAAACCATATTCATACTGGAAAAGAAAAAAAAAAAAAAAAAAAAAAAAAATCACGGCAAACTAACTTACCATCTCGAACAGTCTTGGTACTTGAATCATCACTTGATTCTAAATGCAGTCTCCTTGCCTGAAAACAGGTCCTCGCACTTCTGCTCACTTGGCCCCAAGCACCAATCCTGCATAAGGAAGGAAAAATTATATAACAAATATTGTTTTTATTTGGTTTCTATGTGATAATGTTATAAAATAATATTCTATATAATACTGTCCAACATTCTCGAACATTGTACTGTGTGAATATATAATTCTATGAATGATTAACGAGAATAAATAGGGAAACCTTTTACAAAAGATAGACAAGTATACCTGGAGGCCAGAGGCAGCGAGGTGAGAATGGACTTCATTTTGTCTGGAAGAGAGAGAGAGAATTTTTTTTTTTTTAATGATTATGAAAAAATTTGTAAATTTCATAAATGACTTACACCTACCACGGGCATTTTTTCTTTTACCTCATTTCAAGAATAAAGATATAAATATATTCTTAGCTATTTGGGGGTTGTAAAATAATAAAAAAGGCTTAACTTTAAACTATATGAAAATCTTATAATGAACAAATGCACTAACTAACACACACATACAAGAATGGGGTGTATTATATCTAAAAATACACTTTATTGTAGTATACAGCCTTTCTAATACTGGTTCATAATACACACTAATCACTATACTAGCAATTTTTTAAATATCATCTTTATAATTGTCATTATCTATTTTTATCACAATATTATTTTCTGCAGTCATCTCCCCTGATAATTCAAAATACAATTCTTTTCTGATTTCACTATTCGGTTTTCCATAACTTCAAATCACAGAACAGACATCTGAAAGAGATACAAGTTATTACTTAAATAATTATCAACATTAATAAACTCTTTACATCACACAATGCTGTAAAAAAATGTGTTGTCTTCCTTACACATATTAATATTGCCTGCATCAATATCCAAAGCTTTTCTGAAAAACCACACTCAACTATTCTAATTCTTAGCTAACATCTACACCCAAACACATTACTAACTAGTCCAGGAAAAACCCGTCTCTCAAACAAACCAAAGCTAAATATACTACTCCTACCAATCTACATAAGAAAAGCCACACTGGAAATCAGCTTTACCATAAACCATTAATCACAAATGGGCAGTCTGTAAAACTTTTTGAAATTTAGAACTCTTACTTTGCAATCACAATACCAAGCTAATTATCGCAAACCAACATTACTCCTACATAATCACCCACAACCTATACAAAAACCAAATCAATTAAATCAAATCCACACACACAAACATCTCTGTATCTAAAACCAAGCGCCATTTGGTTATGCAACCCTCGAGTTTTCTGCCTTTTGACCTTGTCTATGGTTGGGGTTCTGTGTTTTTCAGAAGGTAATTTTTTGTGTTTAAGATTGTACGTAATTGTGTTTTCCATTAGAATTTTAAAAATATTTTATGTTTTTTCTTTTGTCCTTTTGTTCATTGTATGGTTATGAGAGTTGTTGTGTTATGTGCTTTTTTGCCGCTTCATCAGCTATTTCATTACTTCTTGTGTGTTTGTGTGATGGTACACAAGAAATTCAATATAATACTTATTATAAAAATACAATACAATAATAAAGCATATTCTTTATATGTATTATTCCTTGTATCTACTGTATTATACTGTATCTGTTTTTGGTTTGTAAGTGTATATATCATTGCCTGTATTTCAAATATGATGTGTTTATAGTTTTTAGGTTTTAAGTTTGATATTAACTGTATGGCTGATTTTGAATCTGAAAATATTACTGATGTTACTAGTCTGTTGCTCTGGATATAGGTAATTCTTTGTTTTTTTGCAAAAAGTTCTGCCTCTATTATTTCTGTTTCATCAGGTAATTTCCATATTGTTATATTTTTGTCCTGGATATATATGGCAGCTCAGGTTGAGCTTGTCCTTAATTTTGAATCGTCTGTGAATTTAAATATCTTTTTGATCTTTAAATATTGACTCTTTAATTATTTGTTCAGGGACTTTTCTTGTTAGATCGTCTATGAAGTTAGTTTTTATGTTTTTTGAAATATCAAACTATGGTAGAACAGGTGTTACGTTTAGTATTGTTTTTGTTTTTATGGTTATTTTAAACTCTTTGCAAGTTTCTATTACTCTGTTTACAAGGCCTCTCTTATCTTTTTGGGTGATATATTCTTCTATATTTGCAGTTACATTTCTTTTCATTTGGTTATTCTCTTGTTTTTCCAGTATTTTCATCATCTGCATACACTCCAATTCTTTTTGTTTGTATTTGATGGGCATTTTATTTGTTAGAGTATTAATTTATCCATATATACATTCCATGATATCTTGTATGATTGGAATTGCTTCCGTTATGCTCTCGGTTATTGTTATGATTAAGGATTTCTCAGATTTTAAGTTTGATGCTATGTTTGATATTACTTTAATTATTCTTTTTACAATTTCTATCCATGAAGGATTATTTTCATCATGGTCTATTCTTCTCTCTGGTGTTGGGGTTTTAATTAGAGGTGTTGGAAGTGACAATGTTATTGGGGAATTTACTAGTTCTTTGTTTTTCATATTACGTTCGTGTGTTTTTGTTCTTTTTTTGTTTTTTTCAAGTTTTGATTTCACTGGTGGGTTTAATGTGTCTGGTTCTGGTTCTGGTTCTTGTTCTTGTTCTTGTTGTTCATCTTTTTTGTCAGTGTTTTCTGAGGGGGTGTTATATTGTGTGTTTGGGTTAAAGTTTGAGAGAATGTTTGTTACCTTTGGGTTTGTTTGTTGTATGTTGTTTGTGTTGTCCTCTGGTTGTTGGTAGTTTTTAGAGCTTAGGTTGTGTATCTCTGCTGTTGTATGTATGGTATTTATGTGGAGTGTTTTTTTTTTGTTTTTTGTTTTTTGAGTTATCGGGCTTAACTGGTGCAGAAGTTTCTTTACTTTGTTGTTTGGTGTCTTTTTTTTTTTTTTTTTCTTTTTTTCTTTTTCTTTCTTTCTCTCTTTCTTTTTTTCTTTTGCTTTTATGTGTGTCTGACATGTCCTGTCATATGCTGAGTGATTACTATTACAGAAAAATACAATAAGAGGGATTTGAACAGTCTTTTAAATTTGTGACCTACCTGATTGCAATTACTACATCTTAATTTGTTTTTACAAGAAATTGTCCCATGACCATATATGAGGCATTTAAAACATTTAGGAAAGGGAAAAGTGTATTGAAATACTTGATATTCAGTATGGCCTATGGCTACTTTGGAGGGTAGTGGATCTGTGAATGTTATTTTTAGGGCCCTATTGAGTAGCCATTTATTGGTAACCAGTCGTTTCGCCCCCAGTTAATTAGCCTGTATTGGCCCAAGCCGCGGTCTTTTCGTCCCACGCACATAACAGTTCATTAGATTAGGTTAGGTTAGGTTAGGAAAGGAAACGACCGCGGCTTGGGGCGAAACGACCTAATTAACTGGGGACGAAACGACCAGGGGGTGAAACGACTGTAATTCCCATTTATTTTCCCCTTCTGATGTTTTGGTTAGGTTTTATTCTGATGATTTCTTTTATTCTAGTGTCTGATCCCCAAATTATTCTAATTTTTCCTTGAATTTCTTTGACTTAAATTTCGGCTCCCACTGAGGAAATATCGCGATAGGAGCACCCCAGGTTGCTGCTAGAGGCTGGTTGTTCGACTTCTCAGTCTCTTAGATGGTCTATTTCATTCAAAGGTCCTATCTTTGTTATATCAATCCATTCAAATCTACTTGCTCTGCTATCTCCTAGGATCCTCACTGAGTTTTCTAGGATATATTTGTGAAATTTCGGTTTGTTAAGGGCATCTGTTAACTTTATTGGATTATTAATGTTTGAAGTGATTGATTTGTTTGTTATATCAACCCATTGCTGCCGGGGAAAATTAACAAAAAATGGGGAAAATGCTGTACTCATTTTTTATATTTTTGAGAAATATCTCTGCCCACAGATGGCTATGCTAGTCCTGATTCCACCTTCCCTTGAATTGGCGAGAAAAAAAACGTATTCTTACTAATGCTATAAATATAGATGGTGTTATTTTTAACAGCAAATTAGGAAAACGTTAAATATTTTCGTAAATTGGGCGAGACAGGCAGTTCTCGTAAGTGGCTCACTGGTGACTTAGTACAAGTTTAGCCATCTATGTGTAAAAACAATCAAACAAGTTGACTCACAGTGGGCATGGCATGTACGTACACGTCATACCTGGCAGCAATGAGTTAATAAGTACTACATTTTTTTTTTTTACGAGGATTAACTTACACTTCTGAAGTGTAGTGTAGAGTTTTTTTCGTGGTTTGTCTGCCGGTTTCTTCGTTATGGGTAATCTTCCCTGCTACTGTCTCTTTGTCTTGTTTTTTTTTTTTTTTTTTTTTTCTGGAGACTGTTATTCACTCCATTTGTTATTTTACAACTTTCACTATGCTTAGGAAGAGTACGTGTTGGCTGCTAACAAGTGTGGCGATTATCCGTCGAATCGTCATACATATATATATATATATATATATATATATATATATATATATATATATATATATATATATATATATATATATAAAGCCAAAAAAAAAACAAAACGGAAACAACTCACTCTTCCGAAGCTCCTCTCTTCTTCTTCTTTCTTTCTTTCTTCGTTTTAGACTATTGTCTAGTCTATATCCCCTGGATCTATTTTCTCTCTTCTTTCTTTTCTTTATATTATTCCTATTAGTTTTTTTTTTTCTTTAAGCAATATCTTTGTGTCTTAAAATGTAGTACTGAACGTCCTCCCTCGCGAACCTTCGATGTTGTAGTCGGTTAATCCCACGAGATGACAACAGCAGCGTCTCGGTCGCGGAAAAAATGGATTCAGATTTCTTTGAATATTCATCAAAGGTCGCCAATCCCGTTTCTCGTTGATCTTTTTCTTCTTCTTTCTTCTTTTATAGGGTTTTAGACTATTGTCTAGTCTATATCCCCTGGATCTATTTGATGATCTTTTTAATGACACGATTCTCTGAAGGTGATATCTACTATGGCATGATGATTATTCTATTCTCCGTCTCTTAATCTATCTAATTTATTATCATTATTATTATTATTATTATTATTATCATTATTATTATTATTATTATTATCATTATTATTATTACTATTATTATCATTATTATTAATATCACTGTTTTTTTAATAATCATTTGTTCTATTATTGTCATTATTGTCCATGTGTTTTTATTGTTGATTTTCTTAATTATATAATTATTGTCATTATTACATTACTATTTTCACTTGTTATCGTTGTCATAATTATTAGTAGTAACAGCAATAGTAGTAGTATCTTTACTATTATTACTATTATTATCATCATTATTATTATTTAATTCACACTTTGTGTCTGGCTGCTCTTATTGCCGAGTTCTATGCTGGTAGGCGGGCCATAACAAATGACCATGGGATACCAGCATATTCTTTTACAAAAGAATATATGTATATATATATATATATATATATATATATATATATATATATATATATATATACATATATATATATATATATATATATATATATATATATATATATGTATATATATATATATATATATATATATATATATATATATATATATATATATACACACACACACATATACAAACACACGCGCACACACACACACATATATATGTATATGTATATATATATATATATATATATATATATATATATATATATATATATATATATATGTCAGGGTAGAGACTGCAATCTGGTACAATCAGAGATTCTACCAGTAGAGACTCCGATCGGAGTTTCTACCAGTAGAGTCTCCGATTGCAGTCTCTAATGGTAGAATTTGAGATTCTACCAGTAGAGATTCCAATCAGAGTTTCTACTGGTAGAGTCTCTAATCCAAATAACCATTTTTATTTGATGATCAATGTCTAGCTAAATTTGCACTGCATACTAGTCCTCTGTAGTATTGTATTAAAAGACAACTAAATTGATTTAACCATTTTTATTTGATGATCAATGTCTAGCTAAATTTGCACTGCATACTAGTCCTCTGTAGTATTGTATTAAAAGACAACTAAATTGATTTATCAGACAGTCAATGTGATTTTGTTCAGTTTTTTTATGCAAAAGAAAAGTCTACAATGCAATACAATACAATACAATACAGTACAGAATCAGAGACTCAACCAGTAGAAACTCTGATCGGCGTCTCTACGGGTAGAATCTGAGATTCTACCAGTAGAAACTGCAATCGGAGACTCTACTGGTAGAAACTCCGATCGGAGTCTCTACTGGTAGAATCTCTGATTCTACCCGATTGCAGTCTCTACCCTGACATATATATATATATATATATATATATATATATATATATATATATATATATATATGTATACATACATATACATATATACATAGGCACAGTGACACGCACACGGACACACACACACACACAAACACACATACACACACATACACACACACACACAAACACACACACACACACACACACACACATATATATATATATATATATATATATATATATATATATATATATATAGAAAATATATATATCAAGGCACACACACAGACACGCACACGGACACACACACACACACACACGTACATATATATATATATATATATATATATATA